TAATGAATGTCTGATGGTAGATCATCACCCCCAAACCCACAGCTTAACTTCAGGTTCCTTTCGTGGCTGTAAATTCTGTGAGCTTTGACAAATAGGTAATGACATGTATTCACCATTTGGTATCACACACAGTAGTTTTACTGCCCTAACACTTTTTTCTGGGTTGGCCTATCCATCCTCTCTCCCCCACCCCACCCTGCTCAACCACAGATCCACTGATGGATCAATTAGAACATGCCTGCCCATTGTACATCACTCCCAGGAAGGAATATGAAGAGAGCTATTTTCCTTTCCTGTCTTTCGCATTCTCTCACCAATACAAGCTGTCCTGAGTTTTCTCTAGACATTGTCTTTTACCATAGCTAACAAGACTCTATCACATGCGCTGTGTACTAGCTCCGTGGCGGAGTTTATGTGTAACTGGAGTGAGGCTCTGGGTTCCATTCCCAGCACCATAGAAATAAATGAATAATCAAGTAAATCTAGTATCCCATGAAAAGAACTAAAAAAAAAACTCAGTGGTGTTTTAAAATGTATCAATAATGTAACCAAGAATTTCTTCTTGTTTTGTGTCTCGTGGGATACACACCCACTATAAAGGGAATGTTTCTTGAGGATCTCCTCATTTGCTACTTAGGGCTGTATTCTTCAGTATACCTTCTACCTTTTAATAAACAGTAACATTACAATAATATTACAACACAGCTGAGTTCTTTCTAAAACTAATTCACTCTTGCATCATTGAAATTGACTTAAGATATTGTGCAAGGCCAAAGTAAATAGCATATTATTATTCCTTGAAGCCAAAAATGCTATGCATTTAATTCTATTTAAAGTAAAGAGTACATATTTGAGCACTTTGATGGCATGCCCACTTAGTAGTAATGGTATTCTGATCTTATGGGTAAATACATATGGTTCCATGGAAAATCAATTCATGGGTAACATCTAGGAATCTGCTGTCTGGCACCTATTAATAATAAGCAATAACAAGATAATTGCAGAACCATTTTTAGTTAGGTGTTTTCTTGAGTGTATGTGTATGGTCCTCATGTCTATGGCATGTATGCACCTGAGTGTGTGTTGGCAGAAACCCAAAGAAGACATGAGGTGTCCTCTGTCATGCTCTGGCTCATTCCTTTGAGACAGGGTCTCTTACAGGACCCCTGGATTTAGGCTGCCAAGCAACAATCCCCAGTGACCCTCCTGTTTCTGTACCCCACAACACTTGAGTTACAGACATGCATGGTCAGGCTCTGATTTTTAGTGGGTGCTGGGGACCAAACTCACACCCCCATGTCTGCACTGCAAGTGCTACCATTGAGTAAATTATCTCTCTGGCCCTAGTATTATTTTTTTTTTAATATCAAGGACCACACCATCTTGTTGAAGTAAAACAGAATTGTTAACCCCTCTCCCCTCTCTCTCATTTTGTGTGTGTGTGTGTGTGTGTGTGTGTGTGTGTGTGTGTGTGTGTGTACTCTGCTGGGAAGAACCAATGGAAAGTGCTTAAGAATGGATATCAAAAATATTCTGCTGTACTGTGTCAAGTTAGTCATTATGCTTCTGTATTGTGATGATTCCACGTCTGTGGGATCTCAGGAGGTTATTGGGAAGTTGACCATGCTGCTGTTTCTATGTCTCATCATTCATCATCACAATCTGACACTTATTTCGATGCAGAGAAAAACAGTCCTTGAGTAAACAAAAGAATGCCAGAAACGGTGCTCAGTATCTCGCTCACCCCAGTACCTGACTTCTTTAAGTAGTTACTCAGAGGGGATCAGCATTTCATCATGGCCTTTGAGATTTTTCAAGAGTCCTAGAAAACTTTGCAGGAATTGCTATCACCTTTAGCTGACAGAAAGGGGAGGGTGCAGTAGAAATAGCAGGAGCTTGCAGAGCTCACCGAGACAGGCATCCCAGGTCTTTCTTGTCAAGTTTTCATGTTAACCCTTTAGTCATTCATAATAAATTCTGAGCAGGCAGATTTCGTTTTCCTGAGCTGGGAGCTAGGTTATAAAATACATCGCCATCCCCAGATCTGGCCTCCAGTAATGTTTGCTTTTACAACCAGTCCTTTCTTTTTAATCTGTTAGTATTTGACCAATCAGCTCAAGTAGGGATTAGAAATGTCTGTTAATGGTTCATTAATCACATTCAAGAGATCACAATCTTTGAAACTTTGAGGATGGAAATTTTAATTCTCTTTTGGACTGCCAGTCAGGTCTGTGCCTCTGGGGGAAAGTACTTCACTTCACGCCTTCGTTGGCTGACACAGTTTCTGGGGCCATTTGTTAATTATCCCACTTGATATGAAGTCAAATTGACTTAGAAGCCTGGCTTTCAGTGAAAGGAATTGTAGAGTTCAATTAATTCAGACGCGGCACATGTGTAAAATAAGCATTTCTGTTTTCTACGACTGCTCTCATTTCCTCAGAGGCCCTTTTGGGGGATGAGTTTAGACGTGGGGCCTGTGAGCTGCCTCATTTAACATGCAGGTGTGGCTCTTTTTTGGGGCGGGGGGAGATAATCACAGTTTCTGTTTCCCCAGCTTCCGCTGCTGCTATCCAACACTGCACTGGGAGGAGTGTTCAGGTTTGATCACCCTGATCTCATGCAGCGGTGGATGAGGTCAAGCAGTAACAGCACACCTGTGGAACCTTGTTGATTCTTGCTTGGGACAGATTGCCAGGGTACATAGGGTCCAGCTCATCACCTGGTTCTCCGAGATAGAGTCTGACCTCCAGATATTTTCGCTCTGTATAGAATCCATGCATATTTTGACTTTTGTTTCAACTTTCAGTTCTTGTCCACTTGCTGGTCTCAGCATGTCTATACCTTTTACTGAGAAAGTCTGCAAGAAATTTTACATGCTTGCCTGTGGCATATTAGGGTAAGGAAATGCTGCCTTAGACTCCTTTTCCTGCCTTTTTACTTTCACAGATTTTTTAAATTATGTATATATGTAGTGTGTGGAGGTTGGTGTGTGCATGTGAGTGCAGGGGCCTTCGGAGACTAGAAGCGACAGATCTCCCTAGAGCTGGAGTTACAGGTAGCTTAGCATCACCTGATAAGGGTGCTGGAAACAGAACATTAGACCTCTGTATATCAGTGCATGCTCTTAACCACTTAGCCATCTCTTTGGGCCCAACACTTCTTTCTTGGTAATCTTCTTATGATATTAAATATGCGTGTTGACTGTGTTTCTTATAAGGCTTCTGCTGGAGTCATGGGATAAAGCAGCTTTTGGGAACCAAACTATACTCCCTCAGGCTCATTTTGGATTCCATGAACCACAGATACCATGGCTTCTTTTTCTTGGGCATCATGTGTTGTCATTGCCAGCACATATCATTAAGAAACTATCTGTGGCCTCCCTGGATTCACTGGCTCTTGATTGATCAATATCAGTATATCAGTAGACTTTAAAAGTGCTGTGCCTGCCTTTTCTTCTAATGGCTCAGCTTAGGGAAGGATGACCACACCGTACTAGAAACTGGATGGGAAATAAAAACACAATGCTTTAACGTTTTAAAAAGCATCTTGGTTACAAGTAGATCAATGTTTGACTCTGCCAAATTGTAAAAATATTAAAAATCAGCAGGCCTTTCTGTTTTTAAGAGGTTAATGTTTACACACCACAGAAAGAATGAGTAAAAACACTGGGTTATTGGTTGGCCTGGTGATGGGAGTAGTTTGAGCAAATTGCTCAGTGCCCGTAAATTAGTCTCACACAGCCAATGCTCTTTCTTCTTCCTGTACTGTTGATTGATTGATTGATTGTGTGTGTGTGTGTGTGTGTGTGTGTGTGTGTGTGTGTATAGCCATGCCAGTGCATACATGTAGAGGTCAGAGAATAACTTGCAATGAAGCAGATGTCTCCTTTCAACATGCGAATTAGAAGGAATTGAACGTGGGTCATTGGTTTGCTGCCTTGCTGACCCATGGGGGCGCCTCAACTCACGAGACCCTACCATCTAAAATTTTTATTCTGAAGATGATAACCCAGAAAAAAAATCATGTATTTTATTCAGTGTTTGTAGTGTTGTATGCAGATGTGTTTGTGTTTAGTTTAATGTAAGCTTTCTTAAAGAATAATGAATTATTTCTTCTTTAACTTCCTTATGCTTTTCTGCCTTGTGGTGGGTCCTGTCACAATGCCTGAGCTGTTGTGAGAGGACTCTCTGAGAATAGTTCATGTTCCTTGCTACTCAGAATGTATCCTCACAGATCAGCAGTGGTAGCGGAGAGCAACCCAGTCCTTTCTAGCCACCCCATCCAAACTCCACATTCAGAGTGTCCCTTTTAAAGGCATTTAAAGCTTGTAAGAGGGAAGAAAAATTGAAAACTTTGGTCAGATCTATAAAACTTGGTATTTTAAATTTAATATCAGATCTATCTAAATAGTGTACCCCAAACTTCAAGGACACAACCTACATAACCAAACTTGCTCCCCAGGTCTAAGGTTCTCTGACGCTTCTTTCTTCTCTGGTTCATGCTCCCCTGCTTGAGCCTGAAACCACCCCGGAGTAAGGTTGCTTTAGGAAAGGGCACCTGGACCATTCTCTATCTTGCTCCTCTTTCTTCTCTTTTTCCATCCCACTTCCCACTTCCACTCTCATCCTCCAAATTGTATGGAGGAGACGCTTGTTTGTCCTGGCTGCCCAGAAGATGAGATGAGTTAAACAAATATGTAAGAGTTAGCCAATAAGAGGTTAGAACTAATGGGCCAGGCAGTGTTTAAATTAATACAGTTTCCATGTGGTTATTTCGGGGGGTTAAGCTAGCTGGGTGATGGGATGCAGCCCGCCACTCCCTTGTACTACACGGCTGCAGGACACTTCCATACTGGTTGCTGCTCAAACCTCGGAGGCACTGCAAGTGACCCAATCGTGGTGACATTTGCTCAAACTCTGCAGAGCAATTCATTAATGATTATCCTGCTAGCACTGGCACACCTAAAACTTCCTTTGTCTTTTTTTTTTCTTCATTTCCAGCCTGGATGTGTAAATACCACAGAGGTGGACATTAAGAAGTCATCCCGAATGAGAAACCCACACAAAACGCGCAAGGTAAATAGATGTGTGTCCTGTGGTCTTGCTGAGTATCTATTTTCAACATTTCCATCTCAAAAAATCCTCCACAGTTTCACAAGCATGCTTCACCCTGGGATTCTACCCTGATAATTCCTTTTCTGGCTCAATGTAAGCAACATCTACCTCTGTTTATAAAACCCCAATGACAAGCCAAAGTACATCCCACCAGAGTTTGCCCTGGAGAACCAATCAATCTTTTGGGCTGCCTTACAGAACGTGGTTGAGAATCTACTTACAGGAGTATAAGTGACCCCGAAAGTGGCTGCACTGGAGGGTCCCCCACCCAGTATGGACGAGAGCTTTTCCATGACTATATAGATGAATTTCCCTCAGTTAACTTCCCCAGCCTGTGTACTCTAGCATCTTCAAAGACCCCATTTTGGAAGAATCCAAGTGCAGTCATGGCAAAATTGCTTACAAATGACTGAGTGGTACAGGAAAGAATCTCAAATGAGGGTCTGTGACCCCCCCCACTCTCTTTGAGAGGACTCTACAGTCAGCAGGCTCACTGGTAATTGTCTCTTGCAAGCAGCCACCACCGAGTTTGTGTAAATGGCTGCCATGTTTCTTGGAGGGCCTTGCTCTACAACACAGTTGGAGGTAGAATGGTGATGCTGTGGGTCTATGATAGGAGGTGGGAAGAAAGCCAATTGTCATTCCCATCACAGGGTAACTTCCTCCTTGAGTCTAACAGACAGATACAGGAGATGGAGCTGTCTGGGGAAAGATGCTATCAATGAGAAGATACAGTATTTATGGAGGGACTGTCTGAGGGAAAGGGGAAGTCTAAAATATGATTATTACAGAAAGAGTACAAGGCCCTCTTCTTAACAGCCACAGGTATGGGCAGGATTCCCAGTCTGCTGCTAGAGAAAAGCTGCCCTGATTGTGTAGCACAGTGCCTGTGCATCACTTTTTAATACACATATTAAATATATTGATTAATATCATATTTAATAATTATATAGCATATATTGTATATAATAAATAGCATATATATCGTTTTTAGATTATAATATAATTACATCATTACCCCTTCCTTTCAAACCCTTCTGAATTTCCCCTATCCCCTGTTCTCTTTCAAATCCTTGGCCTCTTTTTTAAATTGTTGTTAAAGTGTGTGTGTGTGTGTGTGTGTGTGTGCATTTCTTAATATAAAAGTACAACTGGATCAGCCTGTATAATGTTAGTTGTATGGGTATGTTTTCAGGGCAGACCATTTGGTATTGGATAACCAATTAGTGTGCTCTTTCCTGGGGAAGACTATTACTTCCACTCTGGGAGTTCCATAATTGCCTATAGATCTTTGTCTAGGATTGAGGCCTCCATGAGATTTCCCCTTTCCATGTTAGTTTGTTTAATAGTCTCTTTCTGTAAGAACTATTTAGACAGCTTTGCTGCTGAGACTTTATGTGTATAGCTTTCCTGGCATCTCCGGGAGACATGCTCTCACAGCAAACTTTCTGTTCTTCAGTCTCTTCCAATCATCCTGCCTTCTCTTTCACAATCATCTGACTCTCAGGTGCAGGAGTTGTGCTGCAGATATATCAGTTGGGACTGGGCTCCAAAGCTCTGTATTTGGATTAGTTTTCTTTAAAGGTTTCCTTCTGTTTCAAAGAGAAATGTCCTTGATAAGGAGTGAGGAGTACACTTATCTGTAGGTATAAGGATAGATATTTAGAATGTTACTGTGTTGAAGGGTGCATAGTGAGGAAACATTGAACCAAAGGAAGACCAAAAACTATCTAAGCAAACTACAGACTGTGCATCTCCATGTCTGATGTCAAAACACTCTTCAGATCTCCAACTTCTCTCAGCTCTGTTGAGTTAGACAACAGAGCTCTGCTTTCACTTAGACAGGTTTTACTCCCTGTTAGCAGGTTTCCATAGCAGATATCCCATGACTCTGGCATCTCTGACATCTTGGATTCTCCATGGTAATCCAGGCTTTACCTTTATAGCTTCACACAATGGTCTCTCTAGGCCTCCATTCAGAAACACCCCTGACACATGCCTGGCCTCGGCAGATTTTCTTAGTCTTAGGGACAAATTCCATAACCCCTTTCTTCTATCCTTAACTCCAGAACCACATGGCTGAAGCTGCCAAGGTCTTCTGCTTGCTGGAACTGAAACATGGCTCTCTCATTCAGTAACATCTCACCAGTTTTCTGCCTTTGGTTGCTATCTTTACTGCCTAAACTTGGCTGTCCCGGAACTTGTTCTGCAGACCAGGCTAGCCTCAAACTCAGAGATTCACCAACCTCTGCCTTTCTAGTGTTATGATTAAAGGGGTATACCACCACACCCTGCTCTAAGTTTTTTTTTTTTTTGAAATCCTTTTCACAAGTTGGAAACTTAGCTGAATGGGTTCTTGCCCTGAGGTCACCAATTTCTTAATCCATTTATCTCCTTGAACATGGCATTTAGCTCTATTCCACTTCCTGGTGTTCCTTTTCTCAATCTGTACATTTTGTATTTTTATTTGCTCAGCTTATTTCTTTTTATTATGTCTCTTCATTAGAGTTGCCCCTAAAAACCACACAACAGAGTCTATATTAGACTGTTTTGAGATTTCCTCTGCCAATGGAATTAATTCAAAACTTTTCAATTTAGTCTCAGGTAGACTCTCTGGACCAAGGCAAAAAGCAGTCCCATTCTCCACCTAAATATCATGACAGCAATCTCTAGTCTACATGCTAATATTCTTTCCCCCTGAAACCTCTTCAGCCAACACCCCACCATTTAAAGAACTCTTAGCAACACTGTCTTTCATGCTCCTACAAGTATGGCCCATTAAGCGGTGCTTAAAGCATTCCACTGCTTTCCTAACCCAATGTCCCAAAGTCAGTATTACTCAAAAAAAAAAACATGGTCAGGCCTATCCCAACAATACCCTAGTCCCTGGTACCAACTTTTGTCTTAATTAGGGTTTCTATTGCTGTGAAGGGACACAATAACCATGGCAATTCTTAAAAAAGAAAACATTAATTGAGGTGATGGCTTACAGTTTCAGAGGTTCCATTCATTATCATCATGGTGGAATATGGCAGCATGTAGGCAGACATGGTGCTGTAGAGGTAGATGAGAATCCTATGTCTTGCAGGCAGCAGGAAGTGGTTTGTGACACTGAATGAAGCTGAAGCAAAAGAAACCTCAAAGCCTGCCCTACAGTGACACACTTCCTTCAACAAGGCCGTACCTACTTGAACAAGGCCACATCTCTCAATAGTGACACGCCCTATGAACTGATTGGGGTGCCAATTACATTCAAACTACCATATATGACATTTTGAGAAAATTTTTAATGTATTATTTGAGAATCCTTAAATGTATATATGTGGATAATATGTTTAGATCAAATCTACCCCCTACTCTTTCCTTTTCAACTTCTTACAACAGATATAGATTAATACACAGGCTTTCACCTAGTCGACAGCAAGAAATTATAGCGTGGTCAACACTAAATAGGACATTAGGTTAGCCCCTACTCTTCCCAAGGCTCAAGAATCATCATAGAAGAGGGAGCAGAAAGATTGAAGAGTCAGAGGATGTGAAGGATTGCTATGTCACAATCAGCAAAACAGAAGAGGTCCATTGCACAAAGGAACTCACAATGGCTCTGCCAGCATGCACATACATACATACAAGATCAAACCAGCTAACATTCCAGCATGGATGGGGAAAGGGCACACAAAGTAACATGTAGTTGAGGGCCTATTGACAATTGAAGGCTACTGGGGAAATGAATGTTTGTTTTAATTTATTTGTTGTTATGTTGTAGAGTCTCATGTGTACCAGGGTGGCCTTGAACTCACTGTGTAGCTGAATATGATCTTTTGATCCTTCTTCTTCCACTTTCTGAGTGCTAAGATCGAGGATGTGTGCCACCATACCTGATTTTATATAGTGAAGCAGACGCTGTGCAAGCACTCCACCACTGAACATTCCCAGCCCCGTGAAAAGAGTGCTTTTTCATTTGTAGAAAGTATGTGATTCACGCACAATACACACACCACATACATACACATACTATATAGACACCACATACACACACACACCATATACACACCACACACATACACAGAGCATGTTGACCAAGTTTTCTGTCCCACCCAGTCCTGCCCAGTCAGGCAGTCGTTCAGTTACAAAGAAATATACAGAGGTCTATATTAATTGTTAACTGCTTAGCCTATTAGCTCAGGCTTCTTATTAACTCTTATAACTTATATTAGCCCGTTATTCTTGTCTATGTTAGTCACGTGGCTTGGTACCTTTTTTGGTGAGGCAGTCACATCTTGCTTGTTCTGTGTCTGGCTTCCTCTGTGTCTGGGTAACAACCACAGGCCGAAACTTTCCTCTTCCCATAATTCTCATTGTCACGCCTCTACTTCCCGCCTGGTCGCCATCAGTCCAGTCTATACTTCCTGCCTGGATATTGGCCAGTCATCATTTTATTAAAAATAATACAAGTGACAGGATAAAAAAAATACATTGTCCCACAGCACACTCACACCCACACAGAACACATGCACACACACGCACACACACACACATACACACACCCATCTCTAGCCAGCACCAGTCATTCTAGGGATTGGTATCATTGACAAAGAGCATTCTGTGCCTCAGAAGACCTTCTTTTCTGTGGTTTTAGCCCCCATGTAACTCCAGTATTCTTCTAAAGTGAGTGCTCCTACATGAAGATGAACCAAAACTAAGGTTTTGTTTTTTTGTTTGTTTGTTTTTTGAGGTTTATTTCATCTTGTTTTTTTCTTCCTTCAAAGATCCCAACAAAGCCCAAGTTCTTTTTCTTTTGAGGTAGTTTCCCTTTATGTTAGGATGGGAAAGCCACAGAAAGAGTCACAAAGTCCATTTAGATGCAACTAGCAAGGGTTTTGCCACTAGGAACTCTCTGAGACAAAGAGCAAAGGCAATCCACAGCAAGCCCAGCTGTGTAGACACTCCCGGTTCCTTTCATCTACTCCTGGCGAACTCTCGGCTCACTCCACTAGTGGAGCCAAACAGAATTCAAAAGTCAGTCAGCTCTCTGAACAGGGCAGTGTGCTCCCACTTCCCCCTGAATTATTCAAAACTCCCCGTGGCTGACTGAGCTGTGTGACCACTGGGAGAAGAAAGCAGAGAGGTAAACTAGGTATAGCTTGGACGTGCTGAGGTCATCACTCACTCCCTTCTAGCACTGGCCTGTGTTGATATCTGAGCTGAGCTTCCTCGGCCTTCCTTCCAGAAAGCCCAGAGTAACAGGAGAGCTTTTCACATGCCATCAGTGATGGCAGAAACCTGTGGTGGAAGGCAATGAAGTGATATGGAAAGAAAGAATCAGTGTGTGTCAGCTCAGTTTCTCTAGCACACAGTTGGGGCTGGTGGACATTATTACTCCAAATGATATAACCCCTCTCTCTGTCTCTCTCTCTCTCTCTCTCTCTCTGTCTCTGTCTCTGTCTCTGTCTCTGTCTCTCTCTCTCTCTCTCTCTCTCTCTGTGTGTGTGTGTGTGTGTGTGTGTGTTATATGTAATTTCAGGTAGATATAAAGTAATGATTACTTATGCATTTTTCAAGTATCCTTGGTGATGTTTATTCCTTCTGCCTTCCTCTTCTTCTCTATCACTCTACTACCCCCTCAATCTTTAGATTTTGGGAAAGAAACATCATGAAATGAATTTTGCGGGTAGTTCATTGAATACATGATAGCATTTGCTTTTTAGAAGGTCTCTGGCTACCAGGAATATTTTGTCCTGACCCTTTTCTTATTTTAATATAGTCAGTCTATGGTTTACAAAATGACATCCGAAGCCACAGTCCTACCCACACACCTACACCAGAAACCAAGCCTCCTACAGAAGACGAGCTGCACCAACAGGTACGCCCACCTGTGAAATGACCAGCCGAGGGTTTGTGGGGCAGCAGCTATGCAGAGGAGAGAATTGGCATTCATTCATACCAGGTGGAATCTGGAAGGTTCTTTGTATGTTCAACTACTTCATAGGGATTTACAAGGAAAAGGGAATGGGAGCCAGTCATGGTGGCACATGCCCTGTAATCCCAGCTTGCAGAGGCTGAAAGTAGGAGGATCAAAGGTTCCAGGAGAGCTGTGTTTGAGCACAGACTCTGTCTCAAAATTAAAACAAAACAACATGTTAAACAAAGGAGCAGAAGTAAGTGTAGCTCAGTTGGAAGTGCGTTTGCTTGGCCTGTGAAAGACCTTGGGGGTTAATCTCCAGCAGTACTGCATTGTGTGCATATGTGTGCATTGATCTGATTCTAAGACATGATCCTTGTAACATATAATACATGGAAATGCTTTTCAAAACTCTTCACTAATTTTTCCCTTCTTTGCCTTCAGACAATTTTTGCCAACCATGCACCTGCCTTAGAGGTGTCTGGATCATTGAGAGTTACTCTCTACTCTAGAGCTGTGTCTTAAAGGAGTGGGCAGCAGCTTAGCCACAGAGTCTTGTTTCCCACATGAGGCGATATGATCACCAGAGAATGTGGGTGTTTTTGTTTCTGGAGCCCTAATTTCTCTAACTTTTTGAGGTTTGGCATGATCAACCCTCGTGTGTCATCATGATCTGCATGTTCCTTTTTCAAAGTTAGTTTGTCTTCAAGAAATATTTCAAAGCCAATGCCAAAGTCTCCTATCAAGTCATAGTTGGCTTAATCAGAGGAATGATCCTCCACCTTTGATTATTTTCCCTGGTATTTTACTGTTCTGTGCTTTATCAATAAGTTAATGTTTGTTTTTATGCTATATCTATAATTTCCATCAGGAAACAGTAGTTCAGGGGCTTCTTTTCAAAAGTAGTTTTATTGTTTATTTATATCTATATAAACATGTGTCACGAGATGATAAGATTACTTTCAAAATACATAATTCTAATCCTTTCTTTGGATAACACAAGGATGTAAAATTTATTTTAAAATTATGGTAACCAATAATACTCTATTTGTTTTATGAGTTAAATCTTTGCAGAGTAATTGGATTCTGAATCTAGTTGTTTGTCAAGAATGTTTAAAACCAACATAGCACTTTTCAGATAAAGTTACATTTTTTTGAAGCAAGCATTGAATTCAAATGCATTGCTGTTCTAAAGTTATACTGGTTATGTTTACATTTAAATAGATTATACATTTTCAACCCTTTCAGAGTTTTCTGCTTTTGCATTTTTCTAGCTTTAACTTTTTTTCTAGAAGGGACTCAGTGAGAATTGGAATTTAGAGTAGAGAATCAAGATGCCGTGTTTATGCAACTATGTCTTCAACTTTCTTTTTCAGATAAAATACTGGCAAATACAGTTAGATAGACATCGATTAAAAATGTCAAAAGTTGCTGATAGGTAAGCATTTAAGATATCAATGCACTCTTTATTTTTTAAAGGCGTGTTTATTTTTATTTTATGTGTTTGTGATTTGTCCACATGTATGTCTATGCATGTGTGTGTCTGCTGCCCATGGAGGACAAAAGAAATCATTGGATCCCCTGAAACTGCAGTTAAGGATGTTTGTGAGCCACCATGTGAATTCTGGGAATTGAACTCAGGTCCTCTATAAGAGCAGCCAGTGCTCTTAACCACTGAGTTATCGCTCCAGTCCCATGCTATAAACTTTAAATGTCATATGACAGCTGTGTTGAAAATAGTAACCAAGTGGTTGGAAAACCGTGAAAGTAAATGTTGAAACATTTGCTGGACTATGTTGTATTATTTTTGCCCATGGGAAAAAAAAAACTTCTGAAGAAGTCTCTCGTCATAGTTTAAAAACAAAAGACTAATGATTATCTTACATCTCAGAAGTCCAATCCTTGTGGAACCAAGAATCCGGTTGATGGGAGTGGCTTCTTCTCACTCCTGGTAGAAACAAACCTATTAACTTAAAGTCTCCTATTTGCAACCTGGTGACTCTGTAAATTCACTAAAATTCATAATGAGTTCTTCTATGTGTTAAGAGCATGAATTAAACTCAATTTTAGATTTACCTTTTCTTAATTAAAAAAATCTGTGTTTGTGAAAATAAAACATCAGATTTTCAGTGAATTAAAAAAACTTTTAGTGGCTTATGCTTTTCCAGTGTGGATTCTACTAACAAACATAAACAAAACATGGGATATTATAACCATCCCTCCTTTCCCTCCCCTCCCACAGAGGAAGTGACTTAGACAATAAAAGTCTATTCTTAATGAAAATATATGCTGTTTGCTTAACGAGGCTCCAAAGTATTCCTTTCCAACTTTACTCCCTCTGCTTACCTTTTGTTTTTGATAGGATTCTTTTAAAAATATTAGCTAGTGAGTCCTATCTATATTTGAGGCAAAATTTGTCTTCCAATCCTTTCTCCAACTTGGACACCATCTGCACTACTAGAAATGTGCTAGCTCGCCAGGATGGGAATGATGCTCAGTATTTACTGCTCAGGCAGAGCTGGCTATGTAGTCTTTACAAGAGCATACTGGCTTCCACACTCAGGCTGGAAGGTGGAATCCTCAACCACATCTGCCTGCCCGGACAGAGTAAGTTGTTGCATGCAGGATGTGGAAACATAGAAATTGCTGTTGGATTTCATTCTGTAAGTAGGTGTGGATTCCCTGGTCATCCATATTCATGCTGTTTCCCTTACTTTGAACAAAGTATTATTTCAGGTTGAAAAATGAAGCTGGAAATGTTTTTTTTCCCCCTCTGTTTTCTCCCTAGTCTACTAAGTTATACGGAACAGTATGTAGAGTATGACCCCTTTCTTGTGCCACCTGACCCTTCCAACCCATGGCTCTCAGATGATACTACTTTCTGGGAACTTGAAGCAAGGTAAAGTTATGGTCTCTTCCTTCCAAATATGTCAGTTACTTAAGAGCGTGTGTGTGAAATGGCAGAGTCAGGAGCTGACTTCCTGTAAAGGTGATTTTGCTTTGCTCTGCAGCATCCATAATTTATCATTCTTAGTCAAAATAAAGACTTAGACATGGGCTTCCACGCTGAGATTTGGCCTACCTACTAGAACACTCTTCTTCTATACTGAAAAGGCCACTTGGCCATTTGTTCATTTCCTGGCCGCCCTAGACCCCCAAAATAACCACAAAGAAACTGTATTAATTAAATTACTGCTTGGCCCATTAGCTCTAGTTTTTTATTGTCTAACTTTTACATATAAGTTTAACCCATTTCTATTAATCTGTGTATCGCTGTGTGACTGTGGCTTACCGGCTAAAGTTTCAGCATCCGTCTCTGGTGGCTACATGGCTTCTCTCTGACTCCACCTTTCTTTCTCCCAGCGCTCAGTTCTGCCTTCCCCACCTACCTAAGTTCTGTCCTGCTATAGGTCCAAAGCAGTTTCTTTACTCATTAATGGTAATCACAACATACAGAGGAAATCCCACATCAATCATCCATCAGAAAGGATGGAATCTAGTCATTCATGGCAACGTGGATGGAACTGTAAAATACTATGTTAAATGAAAGAAGTGGAATACAGAAACAAGAGAACCATGCGATCTTACAAAATATAAAAAACCAGGAAGCTGACAGTAAATGGTGTTTACATAGGTTAGGAAAAGTAGAAGAGAAGGGGGCATAAGGAAAGGTTGAACAATGAACATTAAATAATAGTCGCATGGGATCTAGGAGTTCTTTGATGCTGTTTGAAGTAGGGTGACTGATGATATCTATGTGTTGTGTATTTGAAAACTCTAGACAAAGGAATCCTGCATACCTTAGAGACATGCTGCTTGAGATGTATTTACCCTGATTTAAACATTACGCAATATGCATGTTCCAGAATATCATGCGTGTGTGAGTTTTATATATTCTAAAACTTTAATTTTTGAAACAAATTTACCCTGCTGAAAGAAAGAACTGACCCAAAATTAGGGGTGACATTTTAAAGGTAGGTTATTCAGAGTTCAGATCCTTCCTTGCTTAAGACTCAGCCCCTGCTAATAAATCATTTGAAAATGCTTTTAGTCATATAAGCTTGTGTTTAGGTAAAATGGATGCCAAACTCTTACTCAGTTAAGCCCAGGACAAGCACCTTATATAAACTTTATTTTAAAACTAGATAAACTCACCATGAACACAGAGAAACTGACGTTTAAAAACCCAAGCATAATTTAGAACTCCAGATTTCTTTAGTGAGCTATGTAGGAAGATGCAGCATCCATCTTGAAGATCATTCAGAGATGATTTCATGTATCTTTGCAAAGACAGTCTAAGGATGCCATAGCACTTCTGTTATGTTTCGCTTTAGGCAGGGTCTCCTAGAGCTCATGGTGACCTCCAACTCATTCTGTAGCTGAGGATGACGCCCAGCTCCTTAGCCTTCCACCTCCTAAGCCCTCATCACCGGGACTACAAACCTGTGATATCACACAAGGCTCCAGGTTGTATTTATGAGCCATCTCTTTTATACCCAGCCACAGATCTCAAATATTTACCAATTCAGTCTTAAGTCACAAGTTTTGTGCATATATATGAGGAATCTGGAATCCCCCAATCCATGACTACATACTGTTCATATTTAATTGTAGCAGAGTCATAAGTAGAAATGAGGGCTTTTAGGTACAAATGCATCATTCCAAGAATGACCAATGCCAGACTGGAACTGTATAGTGGTTGAAATAAGGCTCTGGGTAATAATGGCTGGATTTTTGCCCCTTATTTCGTGTATGACGGTATCATGTTATAACTCTTTATGTATCGACTTTTTCATCTACATAAAATAATAGGGGAAATGCCAGTCTCATAAAGTTGCTATGAATCCATCCAGACTCTTAGTTACAGATTGTGTTATTAATCTAATTTATGCCTCCCCGTGATTTCATGACAAGTATATCATCAGTGACATATTACTATTCTAGAAGATAAGCTAAAAATAGTCGTTCTTCTAAGGTATATATGATAAGGAAAATAGGAATTTGCCCAGGCATAGTGGCAAATGTCTTTAATCCTATCACATGGGAGGCAGTAGCAAGTGGATCTCTGTAAACTCAAGGCCAACAGACTCTATACAGTGAGTTCCAGGTAAGACAGGGCCACACAGTGAGACCCTGCCCCACCTCAACCACCCTCCTAAATGGAAATTGTAATAAAAAGAATATATTTAGTCTTATTTTCTCTCCAACAGCAAAGAACCGAGTCAACAGAGAGTAAAACGATGGGGTTTTGGCATGGATGAGGCACTGAAAGACCCAGTTGGGAGAGAGCAGTTCCTTAAGTTTCTAGAATCAGAATTCAGCTCAGAGAACCTAAGGTAAGACATATTTTGTCATTATGAGTTAAAGAGTCACTGTTTTTTCTAGTTATTCTAGATGTAACGCACCTGTTGCTCTCATATTGTCACAAAATGATGTAAACAAATTTCATTTCTGACATTAAAGATGCAAGAAAGATAGCAAGACAAAAGTTACCCAGCACTACCAATTCCTTTTCATAATTTATTTTCGCACTTCCTCTGGATTTGTTGACTACCTAAATTTAAAACTTTTGAAATTGACACCATAAAAAATTACAATCCCAAGACTGATATTCTGAGAAAATGGAAAAGGTCTCTCTCTATCAGTCACTGTTCACATAATAATGCAGACTCAGGGAATTTTAGTCCTTCATGGTGGGAAAGCATGACAGAGCAACTCAGATCATGGCAGTGGGAGTGTGTGGCTAGGGTTGTTCACATCATGCTGATCTCGGAAGCAGAGAACATGTATGCACAAATACTATATGTGTGTATGGATGGATGTATTTTTAAACTGTCTATTTTATGCCTACCATGTTTCTTTATTAAATGATAAGGCTCCTGGAGCTTTCTAAATTACCACTACCAAACCAGAGACCAGGCATTCAAGACATGGGGAACCCCTTTGTGGGGCATTTCAGAGTTCAATCTTAACAATGATTAATAGGACTTGTATGGTTATTTTAAAACATCAACACTTATCATTATTAACTTCCAACAACATATCTCTCGTAAGAAAGAGAGTGACTACCTCAAAGACCTTGGAACAGAAGTCGATGGGCAGTTTTGTTTTTAACTGTGTGCCTTTAGATTCAGTAGAGCTGTTGATTGCTCCTCAACCTTTAGCTAAGAACAGGCACAGCAGGGCTGTTGAGACTAATGATGCATGGAGCAGAGAAAGAGGCCAGGGCCCTTGTTCTGCCCATCTGTCCTAAACATTCTGGTCTGCTGTAATATTTCCTAACTCCAGGGACACCTAGGAAAACTTTTTAAATAGGAGGCATTTGAGTGTTCATAGATCTGCTTAAGACAATTAAAGCCATATGTTCTCACTACATGAAAAATTCTCCCCTTTTTTTTCTGGTGAGGTTCTCCATTTGTTGTTTTTTGAAAGCTGATATCCTGTTTTTTTTCTTTGGCATGTCTTACTAGGCTCTGTGAAATTCATCTATTTCCTTTCATGAGAGCTAAGCTAGCAAAAGACTGTTTGTTGCATTCTCTTTAGGAATTAATCAGAAACATACATAATGGTGGCAGATGCCTCAGGGCTGAGGCAGGATGACTCTGGTCAGATCTGGAATCCGTTCATTTTCTCCATCTGCCATGGATTCTTGAGTGTGCTTTCTTGTCTTTTGGGGTTTGAAGAATCCTGGGGATTTCTGTTGGGTTTACTAAGTAAACTTTTCAAGAAAACAAGTGGTCCCTTGGGATGCTGAAGCTGAGTCCTTAGATAAGAGAGTAGGGAGGGGTACCTCACCTAGAGCCTCCACAGGCATCTTAAAAGAGGCTTGCAGGCGGAGAGTGGGTGATGAGGAGACATCTTGGCTAAAATCGGAGAGCAAAGACACAGTGTAGTATGTCAATACTGGGTTTCAGGGAGGAACTGAGTCACTGCCAAGTCTTTACTGTTGTTACACCTTTGCTGTTTCTTATCTTTAATCCTTTGCCAGACTAATTTTCCCAAGAGAGATTACACGTATGAACTCTAGGGCTGAGGAGATGGCTTGCTCAGTAAAGGGCTTGCTCTGTAGGCTTGGGGATCCGAATCTGATGCCCAGAACCCATGATACAAACAAGTCTGAGTGTGATGGTGCATCACACGGCAGTCAGTGCTACACAGGTGAAGACAGAAAGACACCCAGGCCCCATTGGCCAGCCAGTCTCACCAACTCAGTAAGCTCCAATGAAAGACACTCAAAATCTAAGGTGGGGCGGAGACTGTAGTTCTGTGTAAAGCACTGAGCAGCATATGTGAGACCCTAGGTTCAATCCTTGGTTCTTGGATTGGATTGTTGATATAATTCAAAAAGTAAAAATGTTCTCACTGAGACCCCAGAGAAAAGAAAGAACTGAACTCCCACAAACACATCTATATTAACACATCACACACATGCACACACATGTGCACAAGCACACACACACATGCATACACTCACCTATAATAAAGAAAATGAAAGTGAAGAAAACTAAAGAGATGGCCCATTCAGAAACATGCACACACAGTTATTAAATATGTCTTATATATGTATATACACATGTAATTCTTGAGTTGTCTATTATAGGCCTATCACATTTCTTTATCCAGATCATCTCTAGCAACATAGGAAAGTCAAGACCTGCCTGGGCTACACAAGACCCCATCTTTAAAAATGAAAATAAAACTGCAAATTTCTGTCCCACCCAGTACCAAGGCCCTTTTAAAATAACCACGCAGATGTTTAATATTAATTACAAACTATTTGGCCTATTAGCTCAGGCTTATTATTAATTAGCTCTGACAACTAAATTAACCCATTTCTATTAGTCTATATTTCACCACAAGGCTTGTGGCTTGTTACCTCACATCTTGCTTCTTCAGCGGTTGCTGGTGTCTCTCTGCCTCTGCCCTTCTTCTCCCTTATTTCTACTTGGATATGCCACCTGGCTCTATTGGCCAAATCAGCTTCTTTATTAACCAATGGTAATTAAACATATTCACAGCATGCAGAGGGGTTATCCCACAGCATAAAACTAGCAAAAACTAACTTTTATGCCTCTGAATATGAGTCTTAAGAAAAAAAGAAAGCTAGTGGGGGCCTGATATTGGAATCCCCAGAAAGAGTGAGCTTGCATTGCAAGCATGCCCAGGTGTGCCTTCGGGGCTCAGAGGTGATGTCATATTTTGTAGGTTCTGGCTGGCAGTGGAGGACCTAAAGAAAAGGCCTATCCGAGAAGTACCCTCTCGGGTGCAGGAAATATGGCAGGAATTTCTGGCTCCTGGGGCCCCCAGTGCCATTAATTTGGATTCCAAGAGCTATGACAAGACCACACAGAGCGTGAAGGAACCAGGAAGATACACGTTTGAAGATGCTCAGGTCAGTACATGGTCTAACTTCTCATAGCCACGAGACCCACAGCTCTCTGCAGTGTTTCCAGCTCAGGTAACTGGACAGAAAATAAGTTTCAATGATTGAGAACAGAAAAAAGACATTTCAAAGTAAGTCAACTTTTAAACCCCTGGGAAATTTTTTAAAATATAAATTTAGTGTTTGTACATGAGAATTTCATGGCTCATCCAGGACACTCTCGCAGGGTGCATAACTGTACAACTAACTGATATTTCACTAGATTTGGAAGACAACGGAACATATAAGTTCCCCTAAAATGCCAGAACCAGAGCAGAACCTCCCAGGTTTGGATCAAGTTGGAGTTAAATGGCATGTTTTCTTTGCTTGACTTCTTCATCCATCAGAAGTCTTCTGTAGAAAGCAAGAGAGGCTAGGGTGTAGCTAATTAGTAAAACCCTTACCTAAAATACATGAATCTTGACCCTCAGACCAAAGGGTAGAGAGAGGGAGAACTCTGCACTCATTAGGAATGGATGGCCAACAGATTACTATATAAGAAAACAGATGCACATTGGAAAATTTGTCTTTTCACTATCCAACAACTAATTTCAGGCTTGTGTTCTGGGTTAAAGTAGGTGTAAAAGATAATCTGTCATGGTATTGATTCCCAAGAGTGTGATCCACTTGAACTACCTGGCTCACCCAGTAGTTGTAGGTGCCAAGAGCCTCCAGGATAGCTGTACAGTCTTGACGTCACATTATCCGCTTTCGATTTGGAGTCTGCAGATTTGTTTCAATTTTCAAAGTTTCCATATAAATTGTCATACTGATGTGAAGTTATGTCCTCGTGGGTAAATTCAATATTAAAATGAGCACATAGGGTTTTTCCTCCTGAGTAGCTCCCAGCCCAACGTAAACATTGATCTGGGAAAGAAATGATGGCTGTCTGTAGCTCTGCATTTATTCTTTAGCTACCTGAGTCTCCTCGTTAAAGTGCTTTGTTAAACTGATAAAGGAGCCCCTTACCCATTCTGTCTTTCCAGGAGCACATTTACAAACTGATGAAGAGTGACTCCTATCCCCGCTTTATAAGATCTAGTGCCTACCAGGAACTTCTACAGGCAAAGCGAAAGGTACTGGCTCTTTGTGACCTCTCTCGACCTTAGTTCCTAGTTGTAATTAATGAAAGCAAATATCTCTGTTGGGCCAGGGTTTTAATAACATGGTAAGTAACCATTCTCTAAGACCTTTCCCCACCCATCCATTTCTAAGGACCATTTAAGTGCGTTTTGTTTCTGTTTGTTGATTGCTCAGTGTATCATTTTTCGGTTGCTTTCGCAGATGTTCATGTTTTACAAAGCCTACTAGATGCTAGTTTCATGTTTGATGTTAATCTTTAGTGTTCCTAGCTAAAGGAAATGAAAAACTCCAAGTAGAAATAAGTCGAGTGCTGAAATTCAAAGGCAGTTGTGTTTACTTACAAAGTCAGCGTGCATGTTTGTAGAGAAATATAAACTTACTTTTTTCAAGGATAGCTGCTAAACGGCAATAATGCTGGCAGTTGAGTAGTTTCACGTGACTTATATCCCAAACTACTTAGTATCTTGATAACCTATTTCCAACTAAGATGATAAGCACATACATTTGGGAAGTAGGAGGAGGAGTAATAATAGTAGTGTTGGTGGTAATGATAGACCTCATTAATTGTTTGTAATTGAAGTCTCATGGCACATAAATCCCTTATATGACCAATGTAACATTAAACAGAAAATTTGTAGAGAAAATAAACATTATTCATTTTTCTAATGTTAAAAAACCCATAGATTCTTAAATTACTATGATTAAGCTATAAGATAATAATAATAATTATTATTATTAAACATAATAATTAGTTTAATTAAGCTACAGTTCTGTTAATTGATCACTTAAAATACTGTGATTTTTTTCATAGCCCATTGCCTTTACAGATAAAAATCATTGCAAGTAGCTATAGTGCCCAATGTGGCAACTGTTGATGTTTAAAATTCATTTTAATTAATTAAAACTACACAAATTTGTAGCCAACTGATACAAGTTTGAAGATACTCAGGCCAGTCAGTACATGATCTCACCGCTTAGAGCCACAAGACTGACAGCTCTCTGAAGTTCAGGTAACTAGAGAGAAAACAGTTTCATTGACTGAGGACAGAACAAAGATATTTCAAAGCAAGTCATCTTTTAAATCCCTGGGAAAGTGCTCAGTCACTTCAGCTAGAGGCTTTGATAAGAGACAGAATCAAGGCAGATATTCGTCCTTTGAGCAAAGTCTAGCCTACAGAAGGTCTGTACCAAATTAATGTTATCAGCAGAAATTCAACCTTCACAGAAATTAGGAACTGATTCTAAAGAAATTCCACAAAATTTTCAAATATTTAGGCTCTGCAAATGTCAGCATAAAAGCTTACCATATCATCCTCATTTCTGCTTAACTTAATTTTGCTTTAAATTGCATCATTTTGTTTGCTCAAGTATAAAACACCTGGATCCAGTGATGAGAAACACCGTGGCAGCCCCACTCCCATGTGGGCATGAGCTTCATACTTGGCCTTAGTGGAGCATTACTTTACCATCCTGTCTTTTTTCTGTTCTGTTTTTCTTGTTTTTTTTTTAAATGTTCCTTTGTTTCCCTTCACCCTACCCCACACCACACATTTAAGTCTGGAGACTCAATGGATCGCAGAACATCTTTTGAGAAATTTGCACAGAATGTGGTAAGTTTTAATTTTTTGAGGAATTACAACTCACTATCTCCAGTGAAAATTTCCCTGTTTTTAGCCCCATTGCCCACCTTGCATTCTTTGACACCAAAAGTATTGTCTTTATTTAAACCCATAATCCTACTTCCTCCTTATCTTTCTCCCCAACCCTTTATAGAGTAGAAAAAAAAGCTGTCATGCAGAAACAACCACATGGGCTGAACTAAGGTTTGGAAACAAGTGTATAGCATGATGTATACAATGAAGGAATCAGTTACTCTTTGTGTCTGTGTTCCATGTATCCTTTTTCCTATTAACAAGAGTTGCATGCATTGCTTTGTTCTTGCCCACAGCTCTTCGTTATGCTTAAAAAGTTAAGACAATGAAAGTTCTGTGCTTTCAAACTTTGAAAGGAGAAAATGGTCAATTGAACAGTTTAAAGTCAAGTGACTGTTGGTAGCAAGCTGATCTCCCTACCCTTAAAAAGACCCACCTGTTTCTTATTCTGTATTTTCCACAACTGTGTTGGAAATTGTTGCATCAATCTAAGCAACCAGTAGCTTTCCTCCTAGAATATTCTTAGCCTCTTGCCATGTGTTTTGGTGATATATATTTGTTTGTTGGATTCTCTTGTTATTTTTCTTTTATTATTTTTTTTGTACTGTGCCAACGCCTTTGGAACTTTCTGACGTTGTGTGAGCTCAAACTAAAGACTTCAACACATTTATTTTTATAGGGCAGAAACATCCCTATTTTCCCATGCCATAAAAACTGTACACCAACACTGAGGGCCAGCACTAACCTGTTATGAAAAGAGGTAGAACAATCTTGGTTTCTACTCAAGTTTGTCTGCATCATCTGTGGAGTCGTGTGGTTAGCTCCATGCTGCTCTTTGTGTGTGTATGTGTGTGTATGTGTGTTGTGGCTTTTGCTGTAATGGTCAACTTAAGTGGAGCTATGTGTGCTGAGATAGAAGCAACCTGAATTCAACAAACGCAATGTTTGTCCTCAGTTTCCTTCATGGATTCCCACCACTCGGTGGGCAATGCTAATCCACCCTTCACCTGTTATGACCACACAGAGTATTGGAAAGACTTTAAACAGCTACATAGACTTTGAACAGTCAATGTGAGTGCATTAATTAAAAGGATAAAGGGTGAAAAATTCGAAGAGTTAATCACACTACACACTTCACAAAGTTTTGGCTATCTCTATTGGAATCTTAACATAGAATTTCCTTTAAAATATCCCATAACTCACAATGGAGTAAGACAATAACAAAATAGCTCCCTAATGTTCTTACTAGGAAAAGAAGCAACAATATATCATCATGTCCTCTGTGTGCTGCTAAAGAATTATTCAAAGTTAATCCCTTTCTAATGCAATCTGGAAAGAATATTGGGTTTTGTTGTTTTTTGTTTTGTTTTTAGATTGTAATGGAAGTTTCTGTGATAGAATTGAAAGTAGAAACATGACTTGGGGGAGATAGAAGGGAGAAATAAAATATCTTTTCTCTAGCTCCAACACATATCTGAACCACATCCACACTTCTAAAATAGTACTGTATGGTCCACACTGGGCACCTTAGGAAAAACCCAATAAGAAACCAGGAGAAACTGGTCTTGATCAGCTATCCCTTCCACAAATGCATGCAGTTACCAGCTAAGTTGCAAACACGGTGCTTCATCTCGGGGCCCTGCAGAAGGAATAGAGTATGGCTCAAAAGTGCCTAGTGGTATAAACAAAATGTCAGTGAGTACGGGGAAAGCTGAACTCCTTCGTTTGGTGCTAAGAAGAAAGAGAGGGCTATGTGTAGTTGAAAGATGTTCAGAAAGGATGGCATTTAACTGTTTAACTGGGTAAATGGGACTTCACTAGTCGAGAGGGGTCAAACCTTCTTTAAAAGGAAGGGAGACGGAGGCCAGAAAGACTGAAGAAAAAAGTTGAATCTCTCTCTCTCTCTCTCTCTCTCTCTCTCTCTCTCTCTCTCCCTCCCTCCCTCCCACACACACACACACACACACACACACACACACACGTGCATATAGAACATACTAATTACTTTCAGATACCCCTCAGATAGCATTAACTCTTTTCCATCTGAGAAAATAAAATGTGGTATTTTTTTTTTTTGGAAAGTTCTGTTTGGGTATTGCTATGAAGAAATCATTAAGGAGATCAAAGGTCTTGGAATGAACCCAGAAGGAGTTCAGGCTGGGCAGCTGTACTGGGAATCACAAATGTTGACATGCTAGGTTTTTATCAGAGACCATAATAGGATCAATAAAATAATTTCAACACAAGCAAAACTAAGAGACATGGTTAGAAGGTAGAGACATATTAGGGGAAAGGTAGAGTTTGCATAAGCATTTCAATGGAGGCCTAGGCACAGGCAGCTCTGGCCGAGCAGGAAGGCTACGTGACGGACAGTCCGCAAGGCAGAATGGAACAGAGAAAGCACACGTCAGTGGGTCTCACTGTGAAACTGGGGGAAATGAGATGACAACACTGACTACTGATCACTCGCCATGCAACAGGCTCTGGACCAGGAACAATGTCTTATGTACATTAACCTGACCCTAAAAGGTGGAAATTCTAGTGCCTACTCATTTACCCACGTTGTAGGTGAAAAATAAAAATAATAATTGGGAGGTGCATCTTCAAAGAATATAATTGTCCCAAAATCACACAGTGAAGTTGCTGGCTGTGACCAAAACTTTATTTTCTATTTACTATCCATTCACAGCCTCCCCTCCAACTCAGATCCATTTCAAGTCAATGCTGGTTTTAGGGAGTTCAGTTTCCGTATTCCATATAGCACATTTGTAAACTGGGTGATAAGAACAGAGTCACGATTTTTTTTTCTTAGCCCAGAGTCAGTGTTTCCCAAAGTCAAAGGAACCTTCATTAGTTATCTGACCTCTAGGCTGCTCCCTGCTGCCACGCCCACTCAAGGACATCCTCACAGCAGAGATGCACAGCAACTTCAGTGTTTCCAGGACATCTTTCCAGTCATAGGTGTGTTAGTTGTCTTTATGCTCAGCAGTTCCAGGATCCTGTGGGGCAGGTGTTAGTTAGTTACCTTGCTTTCCCAGTGAGGTCTCTTCCCCAGCGTCGCTCATTGCGGAGTATTATAGCTAGATTGGAAGCAGACTTTGCTTCCTTGAAGCCTGTTCCTCTCTGCAGGCCACCTTTGCTCTTCACACTGAGCCCCAAACAGGTGATAATGAGTGTAACTCAAGCTTATGCGTTGCCTTCACACTGACTTATCTTTAGGGGAAAATAAACCAACCCATTTATCCGTGGCATGTTCTTTTGTTTCTCAAATTTTCTTCCCATTCGAGAAATACCTTAAAGTCCATCTTTCAAAGGTCACTGTGTCCTTTCATGCCCTCAAG